TTCCAGCTCCACCTTGGCCTTCCTGGCCGCCCCCCTACAGTCCCAAGCAACAGAGGTATAGTCCTCCCTGGTGATGGCCCCTCCCTTCCATTGGGTGTACACCTCCTTTTTAGCTAGTCTAAAAACAGCTACCCTGAGGTCACCAATGGAATATCTAGGGAGGTTACGGTGTTCTGCCATAGGCCTGCATGTGTTTCCAAAATTGATGTCAGACTGATGTTCATTCATTCTGACATGTAGAGATTGCCTTGCCTGTCCAATATAGAAAACAGAGGAACACTGTAAGGCTGATAGTGTATATGAAGTGGGGAGAGTTGCAGATGAATGAACCACTGATATTATCATCTGTGTTATCTGGTCCAGTAATGATGTGGTCTGTGTTATGAGGGGCCACAGCTTGCATTTGGGGCCATTGTAAGGCCTGGTGACTTAGTGGGAATAGGAGGTAGCCTGTTGATCGAGAGATGCTGTTTGCAGTTTGGGGATTGTATGTAAGCAATGACACCCTTGTTCCCCATGGCTATCTTGAGACAGCTATCCTTTCCAGGAGGGGTTGGAGGTCATTAATGATGTATCCAAGCTTGGGACTGTAAGTGATAACTAGATAGATTATGTTGTTGTTCTTTTGGGATTAGGACTGTAGCAGGTTGGAGCAAAGTCTGTGTCTGGATTTGCTGATTTACATGGCCACAGCTTTGGTACGTCATTATAATTGTGGGAATTCCTGCTCCAGATCCTCAAGATGTGTATCCCAGTTGGTGAGATCAGAATAGATTTGGCTGTAACAGAGCATGGCTTAGATGATGGATCTAGTGGTGCGCTTAGGATGGTGTGCTGGTGTGAAGGTAGTTGTGGCAGTCAGTGGTTTTCCAATACAATGTGGTGGTGGCACAGCAATTGCAAGCCTTCACTGTGGTGGCTAGGAAATGAATTTGGTTGGTAGAGTATTCCAAAGTTTGTTTGATGGCAGGGTGGAAGATTGGATGCCTTTCTGGAAGATATGCTTTTGTCACAAGTTACTAGAGCTCAATAAAGGAAAGAAAGTGAGTGAAATTCTTTGATATACAAGAGGTCAGACTGCGTGATCTAATAGTCCTTTCTGATCTTAAAAACTATTAATGTTGTTCATGGGATAAGGAAACACTATTAAGCAGCGCCATATTTTTCCTTCCCAACGGAACATTTCCCCACATTGAGGTAACTGTGACAGTCAGGCTAAAGAGTTTTCTCTGTAGTGACTTGTAACAGATATGGAGACAGTAAAATAGAAAAGCCTGAAATAAACACCTGCTGCCCAAAAACAATTCCTTTGTTATACAATATGCTAGTTTTTAAAAACAGAAAAGGACAACAGAGTGCAGGAAAGAGATTTGAAAGGCAAACTGTATATTGGATGGGTTTGTTCAAGTAAAACCTCACTTTATGCAGTCATCACTGAAATACAGCAAATGCAAGAAAAGTAAGTACAGAGAGAAATGGTACACATCTGCTTCCAGGTAAAATAACTCACTATTAAATGCCAAATTCACTGCTTACTTTGGTCGTTTTTAATTTCCATTCATATTGGGTTCTTTCGTTTTCCAGCTCTTCCACTTTTCCTTTGAGATGTTTGAGTTCCTGTAGCAGGCTCTGCAAAAATAAAATATAGACCAGCTAAATGCAAAGACTCAGACAAGTGTTAGTTCTCTGAAAGAATATATCGTGTCATGCATGACACACTCCAGCAAATGTAGGACCATCCATGCACAGCAAACTTTTCCTTGTTATTTTTGCACCACAGGTTAAGCGATGAAATCTACTGTGATTTGCCTTCATTATTGCTAGGACTGTTTTCTTATTGACTGACTAAATACACTTCAATGACAGTGTTCAAGGGCCCCACTGATATCTATGCAGTACTGTACCAAGAGTTGTTTTTTGGGGTTCTTAAAAATATCTAGGAGTCTGAAGTTCTGACCAAAAGACTCCTAACCTTCATAAAAGGAAAAAGCCCCTTGAGACAGATATATTAAGGTATTTAAATAACAAAAATACAAAACAAGCAGGGAAATATTCAGCTAAGACATTACAGGTATATAACTTCATAGACATCTGCAACACTTTGAAGACACATAAGACTATCTTCCAGCCATGACTAGTTTGTGAAGGAGATAAAGGAATAGTGAATGGAAAGTTTCATGGTAACTGATGTAGATACAGACATGCATAAAATATAAATACATTTGCATAGAAATGTTTAATAATGTCATCAACTACACTGCCTCTGCAGGTGCTCAGAGATTTCATAAGAAGCTACAGAGTAAAAACTGACCATCATGTTAGTTTTCAAGACTATATCTGAGGCCATAGTAGGCACAAGCGAACCGGATAAGTGTTAGATTAGTTTCACTCTGCGGTACTTTGGGGAAGGCCCTTTGTCCATCTGGCCATTGTGAAGTGTGAGCTCCCTGGCACAGGGGATGCGTGTATGCAGCGCTGAGCACAAAGTTACTTCTCTGTACAGATGATCAACAAAGGAAGGCACTAGAGCTATATTTCAAAGGAAACACAAAAAATGATGGTGAGGAACAGAAAGAGTAAGCAGTATCTGTAGCGCCGATGGAGGGAAAGAGCAACAGCAGTGCTCTTTATGAGCCTTTAGGATGAGAGAAGAATAATACAGCCTTAGGGCACTCATCAGGGATTTTGGAGACCTAGGTTCAATTTTCTCTTCTGATACAGACTTTTTACAAGGCCTTGGGCAAATCACTTACCCCCTCCATGGCTCATTTCCCATCTGTAAAGTGTAGGTGGTTTTTCCCAATATCACATGGGGACTGCAAGATTAATCACATTCATTAAAGTCTCCCCACCTTTGGTTGGTAGGTTTACCCTCTTGGGCCGTGTCCACATGAGCACACACATGCATTTTCTGGTGCCTCACAGGCTTTTGAGGTGCTGCAAAATGCATCCCATGCATGTGATTTGGTTCTCTGTGCTGCATATTTGCAGTGCAGAGCCAAATTTAAATACCAGGATATCCCAGTATCAAAAAAAGTACATGGAAAAAAGTGGGGCAGTGTACATGTAGCAGCATATGCCACCTCAAACTGGAACCTGGCCACCCAGAGCCATGTTCCAGCTGCTGGCCAGGCTCTGCAAACTTGGAGCACAGCCACTGGAGCCCCAGGAGGTCCCCAGAACCCCAAGTTAGGCTGCTGGGGCCAGCCGGGGTGCTGGCCTCAGCCTCCCCTACCCCACCCAGAGCATTTTTCCCATTTGGCCATTGCTTTTTTTCTCTGGGGCACCCACGTGCCCCTGCTTATGGGGATATGGCCTAAGAGTCTAATAAAATCTCTACGTCCTTTATATGAGTGGATAAAGACACATGAATGTGTGGAATGGGCAGAGGAGAGGACAAGGACATGAGGAACAAAAACATGGAATTTGGAGGAAAGATCTACAAGAGAAGAAAAAGAAACTGTGTGAAAGGAGGCAGAGAACAAAATGAAGGGAAAGAAAGTTTCAAAGGAGAGGAGGGAGAAAGGAGGAAGATTTAGCCTGGGGTGGTCAACCTGTGGTATGAGTGCCACAAGTGGGACATGCAGACCCTTCATGTAGCATGCAGCAGATCAAGGAGGGAACAGGTTGTAGACAGGGCTGGAAGCACAAAGCAAAGCACAAGATGATGCAGAAAGCACAAGGCAGGGAGCAGAAAGCAGAGCAGGAGTTCGAACAGGGTGCACAGAGTCTCCCATACCATTCTTGAACACAACTGTCACTTTAATGCTCATTCTTGAAATCAACCGTACCAATTAATTTTGGGACTAGCTTTGTGGAACTGGTGTTCCCTGAATGGAAGTCTATAATGGGGTGAAGTTTAACCTAAATCCAGAAATCTGATATATATGTTTCCATGCATTAAACGGCCATCCCGAATGAGACAAGGAATACAAGCACAATATCTCTTAGGATGTGCTTTCTGGACACAAAGATATACATTTTTTCAATTTGATTTTTAACCTGCTTCTTCAACGTGTGCTTCATATGGTAGTGTAACATCACACTGTTCGCAGACACTGACAATGGCAAACTATTAAACATAATGAAGCTTAGTAAGAACCAAATCTGTGTAGGACAGAAAAAAAATGAAAGAGAAATGATGGGAAAACACATATAAAGAACTCTGAAAGGATTATTTGCAGAATCATTTGGAATCCACGCTGTAATTAGAGGTACAAAACTGAAGCAAAATAGCACTAAAAACCAAGTCTTAAAATGGGCTTTAGGATGGGAATACCAATGTCATTCCACCTCCAATCAACTTAAGCAGCTTAAGCAAAGTAGCTTTTATCCTGACATACGCAGTGGCTTTGATCAAATAAAGTGGATGTTTGTACTGTCAGATTCAAAAAGCTTCTCATAAGTGCTTGCTACAGGGAATAAACACATTTTTGCATCATGATTTCCTTATTTTTAAATGCAAAATGAAGTGTCTGATTGTGGTTCTTTCCAGTCATTTAATCCAATGAGAATACGTGCAATGAACAGGATGAAAGAAAAGTAAGTTCAATACTATTTTAGAGACCTTCTAGATATTCTTACCATATTTACCTGTAACTTCATTGTTGTAAATGTGTTAAGCAGTTCAGACATTCAGGAATTAATAATCTCCCGTATCCCCCATGTCAGTGCATGACATACATGATTGAAGACTTGAAACTATGCTGCTGTAAATCATACAGACTTTGTTCTGCAACAGAGCAGGTATAATAAAACACTTTTGAGCTAAAAATGAAATGGATACCATTTACAATCTGAAGGAAGTATTTCCTTCTCTGGTATTTGTGTATTGATTACAAAGGAAAGAACAGGAGCAGTACTTGGCCTTGATTTATTATTAGGATTAGTATATTAACACAGCACTGTAATAAAAAGCCACACAGATTAATGCCTACTGCTCAAGACACTATTCTGATTAACAGAACTCAGTTTGGTGGAGAAAAGAGGCAATGCACAGACACATGCTAAGGGGTACTTCTCATACATCACACCGAGAGCAATTCTTCTGGGTGAGGGCCTCTACCACTGATCTTGTGCTAGGCTGAGGACCATTAGTTGTCAGGTCAGGTTTCCTATCTTGAGACTTTCTTTCCTGGATTTTACTATTTATTTCCAGCTGCAGTCTACACATCTGCTCCTGTAGCTCACTGATCAGGTTTACTACTGACTGCAAACAGGAAAGAAAGGCAGATAAAAAGAAAAAAAAAAGAGGTCAAGGAAGAAATGAGGGCAGGAAGTAAAGTGTATTACTTTGTAGTCATAACATTAAAAAATACAATGAAGTTAAGAGGCAAACTGGAAAAGAACAAGCTATATTTTCTCCTCATGATGGAGGTATACATTGCCATAAATCTAGAGAAGGTCCACTGAGTTAGTGTTTAGATACCAACAGGATAGATGCGCTAGAATTATTCATAATGAACATCAGAGTGGAGATCAGAATTTGGCCAACTTCTTCAGCAATCCTGTGCAGCAGGATTAAGTCAGATATCAGGACAACTGAAAACATTATTATCAAGTTTGACCAGTGGTGGAAGCTGTTTTGGGACATGGATGAATACAGAATTCACAAGCATCATTCTTTTTGCTGAAGTGACATTGGCTATGTTAACTTATAATGTCAACTTGGACAGTTGCCAAGAGATCAGTTAGGATCATAAGTCTGTGGCCACATTATTTTTAACCACTGGCATTCACATAGAAAATAGAATTAGTTAACCTTCATTTTACTAGCAGGCCAGTTTGTATCTGGAACTAGGAAGCGTGACAACAATAAACCCTTACACCACAAATGTAGGCATATAAAATTGGGCAGAATCTTAACACAGAGATTATGCGAAACAGTTAAGCAGCATATGTCAGAAAAGACAAAATGACATCATAAAACAAAAGCAATCATGTGGAGAAGAGCTACCCTGACATAATTATGCAACAAAAGAAAACATTTCCAGTTATGGAAGGAAATTAAGAACAAGTCAGCACTAAAAGCTCAAAATCCTTAAATGACTTCCCAGCCACTGTGATACGTTGGGGTTCCTTTTTCTCAACATTAACTTTTACTGAAAACCTATACATTACAGATTTGCATTTTTCCTAAATCAAGTAAATCTGATGACTGTGATCCATCCCTTGAATGGGCGGGACATTTAACTGTCAGTAAAATACCTAGAGACACTCAAGAAATTTTGATTTTCTCAGTTATGAAATGTGGATGTTCTGGTGAGGTTCTGTGCTTACCTAGAGTTTTTCTGAAGTCCAGTCAATACAAAGATAGCTGCAGTTATGGTCAGTAACAGTCAGAACATTTTTGTACAGGTGAAGAGATTACAGAGTGTAGGCATACATGTTACAGACACCTACTTGCTGAAGACAGCCAAAGTCCTAAGCATCTCCACAGGACTCCATTGCCAATTTTAAATATACACAAAGGCCCCCTTTTATTCTCCAAAAAGAATCACTATCAGTGATATTAAAACAAATTACAGGTCTGATATTTTCACTGTGTTGAGCACCAGATTCAGCATAGCAGGTGCTCATCCTGTTTAAGCACATCTTTAAGTTATTTGTTGAACCAGGACATAAATATA